AAAAAATTTTGTAATGCTTGCGTCTACTACAATTATTGCATCAGACTGTAATTGCGTATTAAATATTCCACGTAACATTCACTTCTGGCCTGATCACCTTACGCGGGTTATGCCCGGGAAAGTTAGGTTTGACCCGACCATCGTATGCGGGCTATGCCCGTCATTGTTGATTAAGGGGTTAATAGAAGGTTTTTGTTTTGCCTAATTACAAAAATTAACATAATTAATTGCAATGCTTTTCTTGTATAGGGAGAATTCAGTCACATGCACCAAAAATTTAGAATTGCTGATATTTGAGTAATTGTATTTCTATTGTACAAGCACTATAACCTTATTAGTAAGCCTTCAGTTCTCTAATGATTGCATAAGTAAGTGCATGGATATCTGTCAGGATGCTGATGTCGCTGCTAAAAGCTGAAAATAATTAGACGACTTGTGTCTCTAATTATTTGTCTCATTCATCTCATAATATGTTAAAACTCAAACATCTGAAAAGTTTTTAGAATGAAAATCATAAAATTAGATCATAATAATAAGACATAGTGTTCTATTACTTGTGTTATTGGAATCTTAAAATTAATAATTTTAAAATCTAAAAGTAACATCGTGCCTATTTTTGATAATAAAAGTCTACAAACTTTGGAATTACAATCTACAAATTTAGATTGCTTTACAAATCACTGCCATCTTTATCTTGAAAACAAAGAATAATTAAATTAAACATTTTAATGTTTTCCATTGTTTTCAAATACTGAGTTAGTATTTTTGTGCATTAGCAATTTGTATAAACTTTATGAATAAACATGCCAGTAGAGCAAAAAACAATTGATCCCACATTTTGATTTTTTTTAACAATTCCAAGTGGTAACAGTTTTTAGTGGTGAAGATGTCCTGAGTGAATCCAGATATCTTCATTAATTTATATCCCAAATGTAAGCAGTGAGCAAAATTTACCACTCTGGTAAACGTAAATTTTTGTTAGATGAGTGTGTCCATGTCACACACAATTTTTTCTTGTCTTTTCTGATACTATATGATCTTTGAGACCTGTTAGAGGCCAAGTGGGTAAAACCACCGAGTTGTATAGTTTGACTCGTCTTTGAATCCCACTAAACTAACTGGCTTTAGGACTTGTTCATGGTTTTTATGTGTGCACAACAGGAGTATGAGCCAGTTTTTCCTAGAAAGTCCTCTACAAAAGCATACTTTTCCTTATACAGAAAGCCTTTTGTGTTCTCTTTCATATTTCATTAAATAATTATGCATATGCTTTAATTGTAAATCTTACAAAAATAAAATTAGCTTAAAATAATTCCTCTTTTCCCGTCGTTATCGTTCAGTCTCTTTTCAAAATGCCAGTTCTCAGTTTGGAGAAGACATAAATCAAGGGGGAAGTGAAATGGTCTAACACTTTAAACCCACGTTGCTGTTTTTGAACTGTTGAAAGAAGTACACATCTTACAGACATTGTTGTGAAAATATTCATGTGTGCAGTATTTATTTTAGATTGATCCAATTTTACTGCTATCTGATTGAATTTTAATCTCTTATTGCCCAGTATTTCTGCAACCACCTTTTTGGAATTTGACAGTTTTTTTAAATGTGAAAAGTTACTTATTAAGTGCAAGCTATCAATTTTTGCAACTTTAAAAAAAAAATATCAGCATAAAATACAAATTTTAATTATTAAATAATTTTGTGAAAATTACAAAATCTAACTTGGTAACTATTTATATTTAGGAAGAGGTTAAACTTCTTTTAAAAAATAAAACACAAAATGTTTGATCTGTAAGATCAAAATTGACAGAGATATTTGATTCCAAAACTTGGCATTTTCTGATGTCGTATTTAATTTACATAGAGGAGTTTATTAATAAATAAAGATAATTTGAGGTTGATTTTTCCCCCTCCTTAAATGCTATCGGTGATATTCTTTTGTGATTTTCTGGTGACTTTATTTATAATTTTGTTACCTAAAAGAATTCTTTCTCAAGTAATTTATAAGTTTTGAAAGTCTAATGTTACATTATTGATAGTCTCATGAAATTTTATCACTTTAGAGTCATGATCTGGTAATCATAAAAAAATCTGTACAAATATTTTTCACTTCTAAGTAATACAAATAGTAATATAAGATCACAATATACAAGTATGGAAGTCTGCGAGTGTTTTCTAGATTACAAATTCTATAAGATTTTGTGAAGCTTTCATTTTTGAAAAAAATTATATTGAGTAATATTTTATACAATAATCTGAATTAAAAATTTTTCAAAATAATTAGAAATGCTCATCATGTAATCTCTTTATATCAGAAATCTTTTATATCCGTATAAGAAGTAAAGGAAGTGTTGTAATTGCAGAAAATTTCAGGTACCATATTTCAACAAAAATATCCATTTTGGCTGCTATTGAATGCAATTTAAAGATGTTTTTACATGACATCTGTACCTAGCAACATAATAAAGGACTCTTTCCCCAAACAGATTATAAAATTGGTTTGAAATGGATTCAGAAGAAATTTTTTCGTGACGTCTTTACATACGTATGTATCTCGCATAACTCAAAAATGAGTAGCATCAGAACCTTGAAATTTTGTATATAGGACTGCTATAGCATGTAGTTGTGCACCTTCCTTTTTGGTTGCAATCAGCAGCACCAAAAGCATATACAGTAGTCTTTAATCCGGAATGATCTATAATCCGGACCTCAAAGCTACAAACTTTCTGCGCATGCGTGATCGCTACGCTACGTTCAATGTATAATGGAGGGTATAGGCTAGGCTAAAATTATCTAATTATCTATTTCAGTTAATGTTGCAGATTGTGTTGTTCCTTAATTTTCTAATTGGATGCGGCTTATTATTTTTTTGCAGACTGTTAGAGCAATTTTATAAAAAGTAAGCTTGAACTTTTGATTATGTCAGAAAGATTTCTGATTCTGGAGCTGCCAAAGGATCCACAAAGAGAAAGCACGTTTCAATGTCCATCAAACAAAAAGTTTTACTTGCTGCAAAAGATGGATAAAGGCATGAAGAAAGTGACAGAGAGGTTAGTGAAAACGAAAAAATTTCGATTGACAAGTTATAGTCGGTATTCTCAGCACAGCAATTACAGGACGTGAACAGCGGACTTTGTAACTGAAAAAGAAAATTATGTCTCTTTATAGAATTAAAGAGAAAGTATTAGCACATAAAATGAAGATATTTAAAGAACTTACATTGAAAGAAATGTTTATTTATTTAAATTTTGATACACTTTAGATCATAATTGCTCTTTATTTCATAAATTACAGTTTCATATTTTTAATTTTGTAATTTCTGTATGCCATTTTACCAGATTTAAATTGATGATCAATAATCCGGATGTCCGGATGAGTCGGATGAAAGACTGTACTGCATGTATATATATTGAATGATCTAAAATTCATTGAATTCGAAAACAAGTTTTTCTAATACTTGAGCAATAGCTGCAAAGTAAGATAATAATTTATTTACTTAAGAAATATTGATTATATTATCTCCTAATATAAATTTAGTAGAATGTATCAAACTAAGGGAACCCATAAGCAGGAAATTGAATTCCGAAAATTGTTTTTTAAAGGAACTTGAATGTAAATCATGAATATATATACCCACTCTGTTACTGGGTTCCATAAGCTCAGTTTTGTTTACTCTTATATGTTGGTAATTTGTGCATTTTTTGCTTTAAAAATGATTATGTTCTTATCTTTTTGTTAAGGTTTTTATGCCTTTAGTTAATCTGCATGCAATAGTTGTAGAATTATTAGCAATTTAAAAGTTGTTTAAGTGTGGCTAAGTTTTTTTTTTCCCCCTTTTTTTTACAATATGTTTACATTTGAAACTTAGCAGCAGTTTCTCCACCTTCAGTGTCTTTTTGCTGGGTGGGACCAAAAGTAAACTTTCAGTTTTCTGCACTGAAAAATCTGCCTTCTTGCCTTTTGGCGAATTGCTTGTTTGTGTAGAAACTCTAATTGTAAAAGTACTTTTTTGATTTAACTGTATTTGGTGTTTTATATTTTTCAATTTTTAATCAAGATATTTTGAGGTTTTATGTATTTTTGTCATGCTGCAAAGTGAGAAATGAATTACTTAAAGGAGAAATCTATTTGTAATGAATTTCGTGGAAATAAGTTTAAATGAAATGCAGTAAAAAATGCTGATAATTTAATATTTCAAAGAAGTAATGTGGTGCCTACATCAAATTTTTTTCTAAATGATATTTTATTTTTAGTTATATAAATGTAAATATTTATCTCTTCTATTTGTGTACAGCTGCTGTAATCTTGGAAATATATATCAAATATCTTGGCCAATTTCTATCATATGGGAATCAAACTTTTTTTACTTTTTTTTTAACAGTTTTCTCAAATACAAAGGTAGGGAGGGACCAGAGGAATGTGTAAAAAGTTAGCTTACATAGTTTTCATAAAATTGATATCTTTACATTCAAGAAACCTTGCTCATGAATCTTTCCAAAACAGGAATTTTTGCATCATTTAAGACATATTTATAATGGGTAGTATTTGTTTACAACCAGTGATTGTAAAACTAATCACCTAATAAGGACTTTCGTGGGCATAGTATATTGAGCATCACATTAAATGAGTGGTAGATCTCATAAGTTTAAAAATGGTTGAAAAAAATATTATGGACTAGGCCTTTTATGTCAGTATTTTTTTTTAATGTCTACATCCTTGCTTATAACATATTATTAATTTGGCAATAAGGTTAAACACTTTGAGTAAGTAAGATGTGGTTGCTTTTTATACAACAAATAATAATACTGCATGCCTTTTATAAAATAAATAATATAAAAAGTACCTTTTTCAATAGTTACTGAAATTTTTCTAAATTAATAAAAGCTAATTTTGGTTTCTTTTATATTTTCAGTTTATTTCAATATTTTCTAATTTTAAATGATTTGTTTCATGATATTTTTTCTTTTATCAGAAATTTTCATAAAAAGTTATCTATATTTCAGTTACTAAATCAAAGCAAAATTGGAGGTACGGATGTTTCAGACTCGAAAGCTCCGGAAAGCTCCTGTGGAAGTTCTGTGTATGAATTTGAATTACCTCAAGAACTTTGTGGGCGTTTGATAGGAAAACATGGGAAACATGTCAAAAGTATTAAAGAAAGGTCAAATGCTAATGTGTATATAAAAAGACATCCATATGATCCTCAGTTAAAAATTGTTGCTGTCCAAGGTATATTTTTCTTAATCTTAAATTGGCATGTGCTTCCTATGTGCATTTTGATGTTTGCCTGTTTTATTAATAAGCTTATATTTAGGTATTCTACAAAGTTTAAAGTTATAATTATTTCAGGAATATGTTATATATTTTCAGTTTATTTACTTATTTTACGATTTCTATGTAATTATATAAAAATTCAAATACTTTTTTCACTGTGTCTACCGATTATGGTTTTTTTATGTATAAATTTAGTAAAGTCTAAGATATTTTATTTCTTCAAAGGAAAAAAAGAAGAAAATTAATGCTTTTCTTGCTTGCCTAGAAATGAAAAGTTATTTAAAATTTTTAATGTCTTTTACAATAATTGCAATTGTGCATATAACTGTTGAATAAGATTGTTGTTTGTTATCCCATAAATAAAATTTGCAAACTATTTCCTTTGTTATTTCCTTGTATTCTATGAACTATTCACGTTTTTAATTAATAGAAACAAACATTTATATTCATGGATCTAAATGGCTGTAATTAACAACTTGAATAGAAAATTGTGGACTAATTTATGATTTACTTTAATTAGGGGGTTTTGTCTAATATATGCATCTCTTGAAGGTTGCATAATTAGTAAACTAATAAGTCACAAAAGTATGCATGTTAAAAATGTAAAACTATGTGCTCTGCTTATAATAGAATGACTGGCTTTTATCTCAAAAACATTTTTCATTTATCAGGTTTGTTTATATGTATCAAGTGATCAAAAAGTCAGTATAAATTTGAAAACTTAATAAATCACGGAATAATGTAGATAGAGAGGTAAAAATTGACACACATACTTAAAATGACATGGGGTTTTATTAAAAAAGCAATAATCTGATCAGAAAAGCAATAATTAGCATAACAAATTAAGACAAAGTGAAGATGATGTTCTTTACAGGAAATGTTCAATATGTTCACCATCATTCCTCAACAATAGGTGTAGTCGAGGAATAATGTTGTGAACAGCACTGTAAAGCATGTCCAGAATTATGGTGAGGCATTGGCGTCGGATGTTGTCTTTCAGCATTCCTAGAGATGTCGGTCGATCACAATACACTTGCGACTTCAGGTAACCCCAAAGCCAATAATCGCATGGACTGAGGTCTGGGGACCTGGGAGGCCAAGCATGACGAAAGTGGCGGCTGAGCATACGATCATCACCAAACGATGCGCGCAAGAGACCTTTCACGCATCTAGCAATATGGGGTGGAGCGCCATCCTGCATAAAAAATCGTACGTTCCAGCAGGTGTTTATCAGCCAGGCTGGGGACGATGCAATTTTGCAACATATCGGTGTACCTCTCGCCCGTCACGGTAGCAGTTACAAAACCAGAATCGCGCATTTCCTCGAAGAAAAAAGGCCCGATAAACTTTTTTTTTTTTTCCTAATAAAACCTCTTGTCATTCTAAGTACGTGTGTCAATTTTTACCTCTCTATCTACATTATTCCGTGATTTATTAAGTTTTTCAAATTTATACTGACTTTTTGATCACCTGGTATATGTGTATTCTGAATTGCCAGTTGTACATTCTAGGGCTATGATGAATTAAGCTTTAGTTTATGAAAAATTGTTGCATTCTGCTGTGTATATTCTATTAGTCTAAATGGTTAGCACATTCAGCCCACAACTAAGATTTGTGGCTCAAATCCTATCGAAGACACAATTGATTTTTCATGTTTCCTTTTCCAAAAATTCTAATTTGGCTCTACAGTGAAACCTCATTTATAAATGATAACTCGTCACTACCTTGATTTGTTCACAGGAACATGTATCTTATCGAAGAAAAGGTTAGGAATTTTTGCATCTCCCCCCCCCTTGTGCTCTTGTGATATACATGGTTAGGTTATATGGCTAGCATTTGAGGATCTGTGGTAGATTTTTTTTCCCTCCTCTAGCTACCATATTGTTTGGCCATGATTTTAATTCCAGAGAAGGCAAGGAATCCTTAAAGCACTTCCATGCCGAAAGTCCTCTCAAGTGCCTTTATGGTAGGGGGAGAGAAGTAGGTAACCCTCGAATCCATCCCCCAGATTATTCTCCATCAAAACTGCAGCAAAGCTGAATGACTAGTGTGGCAACCCTAAAGAACTCGTCTGTCACGAGGATCACATGCGCAGATGCATTACGTCTACGTCTGCTTTTCTGTTTGATAAATAGTTGCATTTAAGATTTTGTAGAATAAGAAATGGCGTGAAAAATAAATGTTGGTTTTTTAAAAAGTGTCGGCTCAGATTTTCAAAGCTATAAATTGCTTATTAAGCAACAAAATTTGGCGAGCCAGCCAGGATGAATGTCACAGGGTGACATTATCGATTTTGACACTTGATAATTTACGAAAATAAGAGAAGTTCCTAGGTGCGAACATGGAGGACTTAGAAATACTAAAACAGAAGCGGGAAAGCAATTACGAGTGCATTTACGAAAACAGCTAATAAGTTGGAAGAACTGATACAATCAGATTCTCTGGATTTGAATGATCTAGAAATTTATTTAGATCAAATTTCAGAGAAGTATAAAACTTAAAGAAATACGGGTGACTCTTTTTTGGAATTTCTACAAAAAAAAAAAGAAGGCTGTACTACAGAATACAAAGAAGAATACGAAAGAGAATTTAGTGCAGCTCAAGAATATTACGATAAATTATCTACGTTGAAAGTAAAAGCCAACAGGAGAAAGGATAAGTGTTCACAGCCTTCTACTGGTTCAACAAATAGCGGTTCTTCATCAGGAATAGTTAAGGCCGCAAAACAGAAAATGCCGGAGATCGAACTGGTGAAGTTTGATGGAAACTCCCAAAAGTGGTTGATGTTTTGGACGAGGTTTAGTAAAATACACAAAGATACTCCCATCGACCGGAGAGACAAGTTTCATAATCTACTGCAATCTACAAAACCTGAGACTGTGCCAAGAGCAATAGTGGAAAGTTTTCCTGCTACTGAAGAAAATTACTAAAAAGCCATGAAGTATCTCAGAGAACGATTTGGAAATGAAAATGTTTTAATTCAAATTTATGTTAGAGAGCTATTAAAACTGATAATCAATGACAAACAAAAGATAGACTTATTAACTCTTTATGAAAAGTTACAAACTCAACTACGTGCATTGGAATCACTCGGTTTAACTAAAGATAAATTTGCAGTTGTTTTATTTCCTTTAGTGGAATCAGCACTTCATACTGAAATTTAATACAAATTTGGGAAAGACAACAAGGTATGTCACCTGAAACTATAGGTAAGAGTGATTTGGAATCATTAATTGATTTTCAAAAAAGGGAAGTCGAAACTGAATTTAGAGTTAAACTTACCCATGATGTTTTGGGTTCTGATAAAGTAAGTAATAAGAAAAATTAATTTTTTTTGATACAAAACCTGTAGTTCCAACTGCATGTGAACATCACGTAATGACAAAGTAGTAATGAAAATTTTCGAAACGTATGAAAAGTTCTGATACTTGTATTTTTTGTGAAAAATCTCATTTGTCTGAAAGTTGTAAGGATGCATCTTTAACTGAGTTTAGAATTGTAAGAAAGATAGCATTAAGAAAAAGAATGTTTGTTTATGTGTGTCTTAAGAAAAACCATAGAGCAAATCAGTGTAACAGCTAAACATAGGTGTACCTTATGTAAAAACCGACATTTTGCGATTATGTGTCCTGATTTGCCTTCTAACAAAACAAAAAATGTCACAAAGTTAGAGAATGACGAAAACAAAACAGGCATTCTTAATAACTATGTTAAGGTAGATCTTCAAACTTTAATTGTAAAAATTCAGAATGGTTCTAAAGAAATGTTTGTACAAGCAATTTATGATAGTGGTTGTATGAAATCATATTTATGTAATGATGTTTCTCAAAGGTTGAATTGTAAGTGTATTGGTGAATCAAAAATTAAGCAATTTCTTTTTGGTTGAGTTGAGACTTCAGAAAATGTGTATAAAAACTATGTTATTGAAGTAATATATATAGTAAATATAAGTGTAAATTAGAGGTACATGGTCAAAACAAAATTTGTTCTGAAATTAAGCAACTCCCATCTGATTCGTGGTTATCGAAATTAAGTCACATGGTATTCTATTAAGTGACTTAGAAAATGGTTCGTGTGATGTCGATAAAGTGATAAGATTACTAATTGGTGCGGATTTTGCTGTTAAGTTTGCTAACTGGAAAAATTGTTCCCCTTACGTGTGGCATCAGCACGGTGCATACGCAGTTAGACTGTACTGTTATGGGTAAATTGGCACTGAGCCAACTACGATAAATACTGCATCCCTCCTAATTTCTTCTCTGTTTGTGAAGGGTCAATGTATTAGTGATCTCTGGAAGTTAGATGTTTTGGGTATTAGTGAATCTTCTATAAGTAAAACCAAAACTCAGTTACAAGAGGATACGCAAAAATATTTTGAAGAGACTTACGGTAAATTTGGAGGGAAGGTCCGAAGTAGCATTACCATGGGTGTTGGATAGCTCGCTTTTACCCGAAAACATTCTTCCTGATGAATTAACCAAAAAATTTAGGTTTTAGTGTAAAAAGTTGTACTTGCTGTCCAGTATCCAAATACCTAGATGGGTAGGTCTCAAATCTATTAATGAAGTTGTGAGTATATATCTCTTTTGTGACAGTGCGTATGGTGCATGCATCTTTTTAAGAGTACAGAGTGGCAAAAAGGTAAAGGTTAGTTTGGTACACGCAAGATCCAGAGTAGTGTCTTTAAAACCTATTATGATTCCTTGATTAGAACTTCTTTTTTGTAATATTGGCTCTAGGTTATTTTCTTCAATTATTAATGATATTGGCTTACGTGAAGTTCGTATTAATTGTTGGACTGACTCCTCAACGGCTTTAAGTTGGATACAGCGAAATCAACGTTGGGAGCATTCTTTTTAATGTGTACAGGAAATCAGGTCTTTGACCTCCCCCACTGTATGGCGACATGTCCCTGTAGTCTCATCCTGCTGACCTACTTTCTAGAGGTTGTTATG